AATTTCGGAAATTTCGGTCAGAATGTAAATGAGAAGTCACTTTAAGCTCGACCGACTGGGAAATTTTAGAAATTAACAGACCATCTTGAAATGTAGTCTAAAATTTCCCTCTGAAATATCCCAGTGGCGAAATGTGCTTACCATTTGCAGTAACTAGGCGCGCGAAGTCTAAAAATAGAATGCAAATTATTGGAACCCCGCGAGAGTCAGAAAACATAAGCGTGTTCTGAGAGAAAAGGAGGCAAATGAACGCCAAATTTTCGTTTTAAAAGTTGCTTTAGGAACACTTACTTACGCGCTTGAAAAAGCGTCAAATCTTCCATAATTCCGTTTTGTTTGTCTGAGTTTGTCTGAGTTATGACGTCACTCGCGCGCTTCGCTATTCTTCACCGCCATCTTGGATTTACGATCAGGCTAAACTTTTTCATTCTCCTTTGGTAAATTGGAGGTTTTGAGTAAATAGTAAATGGCCAATCCGAACGGAACTTACCGTCAGGAATTTTTGCTTACCATTTGCACAAACTGTTGACGAACCGGTTTCTCAGTGTAAATGGTAAACAACCTCTGTCTCGTGTTACTTAGTTTTTATCCTCGAGTATTAAACAGAAAAAATTTTCCGTGTTTCTTTTGAGAAACGAGAAACGCAGTGGGTAAACGAGCCGTAGGCCGGCGTTTCCGCAACTTTTTGCACATTCTCCCAAATACTATCCAACAAATTATACGAGCCATTTTTAAACCTATTGAGGATTAAGTTGATCAAAGCTGAGGAACTTGGTATAATCGTCCCCTGGCTGCAAAATCTCAAGAATGTAACTTAAACTGGATTGAACCGACTTAAACTGCGTCCAGATTTTACTGAATTTTCCCATGGCAACATTCGGCCTGAACCTCCGCCATGTTGCCGCCCCTTCCCCTCCCCCTCCCCTCTCCGAAGGAAGGTGGTTCAAGGGTTACACGAGCGATTTTGACAGTTTTTATTGCAGTAGTAATAACGAATAACTAAACTCTATTATTATTTTCGATTTAAGACTTTTTATCCCCGGTTAATGGGGAGGTTAAGACAGGGTTGTGTCAAGTTTCATTTAAAAAGACAAGGGGCATTTGAGAACAAAAGAAAATTCATTAGAATTGCAGATACATTTGTTAAATTAATATTCAAGTTACG